AGAGGTGTGGGTGCCGCCCTTCGGTCCGCCCACAGGGGACCTTCCCCCCCCTTTCTGCCTCTCGGCCCCGGCTTCCCCGGAGGAAGCCTCGACGCAGAGAGTGCCCGCATCTTGGAGGGCGTTTGTTGGGGGGGACTTGTTTCCTCCCCTCTTGCCCCCTTGGTCGCTTCTCAGCCGGGGTGCGGAAGTCCGAGCTCGGCTCTTTCGCCCCCCGGTCCACCCCACGGCCAACCCCGCTCGGTCCTGGATCGGGAGGACCACTCTCCCCGGTCGTTGCCCTCTCGCCCTCAGAGGGGATGGGGCCCACATCGGCTGTTGCCTCTGTCCCACCGCCCACTGCGGAGGGGGTTGATTTATCGCCCCTCTTTAATAGAGGGGCGCGAGGCGCAGGGGGGATCAGGGGGCATCCCTCCGACCCCACCCTGTGATCCGCCTTCCTCCCAGCGGTAGTGCACACGGGGCAACAAGGGGGTCGTTTACACGTTGACCCCTTGTGCCCCTCCTCTCCGCAGTGAAAGCAGCAGAGGGCCCTGTCCACATTGGACGGGCACCTCTGCTGCGTATGTCCCCGCGTCAGGCAGCGGAAGCAGCGGGCCGGTCTGCTCGGCAGCAGTTCGACCCGAGCGTTGGACCACCCAATTTCGATCCTCCCTGCCTCCGCCACCTTAATCATGGCCCTCGCCGGGCCTTGGGTCCATACCGTGCGCTTGCCGGTGTTCGTGGCGCGCAGCGGTCCCACTCGAATCTCGGATTCGGAGCATCCGCCGCGCAGGGAAATTTCCCTGCGGATCTCCTCCTCCGAGACCGATTCCTCCACCCCTCTCAGGCGGAGGTCCAGCCTGATTTTGGGCCTAGAGACCCTCACCCCCTCCATCCCGTGTTTCTGGAGGGCTATCTGGATTGCGGAGGTTAGGCGACAAGCCTTCGCCTCCGCATCCTGCCCTCCCCCCGGCACCTCCACGAGGAGTTCCCCTCCGCGGGTTCTCCTGGCATCGAGTCTATCGATGCCAAGATCCCCCAAGACGATTTCCCGCCTCGCCATAAGCAGCGCTTCGGACAGGTTACCCTGTCCGGCTAGCAGCACTGCCGCCGAGCGCGGGAGCCTCTTCTTCACGGCCTTCACCGGGTTCCCCTTGGGTCGCGCTCCGTCGGTGGTCGCTCCCGGTGGACCCGGACGGGCCCGGATTGCAGGGGTGGGGGGGCCAGTCCCCATCCCCTCCTTCGCAGCCCTTCCCTTCCTCTTATTGCGCCGGCCAACGGTGATCCACTCACTAGGATTATCCGCTGCCGGCGCAGCATCCCCCTCCAGTGTAGGATCCGGGGGAATGGCGGGAGACCCTGTCGAGGGTTGGGGAGACAAACCCCCAGTCCCACGAGGGACCGCCCCCCCGGTCTTCTCTCCCCCCTTCTTCCTCTTCTTCCTCCCCACCCCGTCTCGAGCAACCCCCCCAGCGCGGGGTGCCCGAGGGCGGGGAGAGGCAGGGACCGGAGGAGGAGCGGGCCCAGTCGCTCTCTCCTCGAGGCCCCTCAGCCTTTCGCCAAAACCCTCCAGTGTCTTGGCGATTCCCGCCAGGCCTGCCGCCACGTCCGTGTCACCTGGCGGGTGGGGAAGGGGA